ACATATATATATATATATATATATATATATATATATATATATATATATATGTAAGATATTTTTAATTAAATGTGTTTAAAACTATAAAACAATAAAATATAGGTATGGTTAAGGAATAATAGTACACAACATGTCCGAATATAATAATAGGAATAAATTGTTCACGAAATTTCTACAGATAAATAATAAAAATAGAAAAGAAATATTAACACGACTTGTTAGCCAATTATATATATATATATATATATTAATACTCACAAAAGCATTCAAACTCCAGATCCATTTTCGAGTTCTAAAGTTTTTTTTTAAAGATGAGAATGTTTGCGGTTGTTCTCACCATCGCCATCGCCCTCATAGCTGTGGCATACGGATATTCATCGGCTTCAACCCCTAAATATAAATTCCCACATTACAAATACAAGGCTCCGCCCCCTCCGACCAGCTTTTCTCCTTACCGTTACTTCTCTCCGCCACCGCCGCCACCGGTAACTGACGGATCTGCAACCTATGACCGGTGAACTGATGATCGATTTCCGGTATGGAATCGAGATTCCGAATTTACATGTTGAATACCTTTAAAATCTTAATTCTCTTTGTTGGGATTTAGCCCGTTCATTTGATTTTCGTTGTTCGGTGTTTTATATTCATCAAAATAAAAATTGCAGTGCTTTTTCAATGTAGGTTGACGGTGTTTTGAGGAAAAGCTCACTATGATGATGGGGTGTTTGTAGAAAAAAAAATGTAATTAAATTCATATTATATGATATGACATGAACATCCCACAAAATGTAAGTGGTTTCTAATATTTTCTCTTTGTAGTGTTTGTTTTTTGTATTCATTGTAAGAAAATTATAACCGTTATATCTTATTATTCAAATAACAATTTTATGTGTGTATACATACATACATACATAATTCGGTAGTTTTTAATATGATTTATAAAACAATAAAAAAAAATATAAGTTAACGTATCCACGTAAATTAAAATCTGTTCATCGAATCTGACACGGATTGGTATTGGGAACAAAATGTATGTGTGTGTGTGTGTATATATATATGTAAAACTAAACTACGTGTAAATATTATCTTTTTGTCATTATTGAAATTTTGTGATAATAGATAAAAAAAAACACAAGGTAGGAACGTCTTGCTCTTCTGAATTTAATTTCATTTCCATGAGTATCGCACATACCTAATTTTTATGGAATTACTAGTTGTGTTCACTGTAACCATTGTTCGGTCGAAAACACAAAATAACTGTATAAATATGTAAAACTAAATTGAATTATAAACATTATTATGTATTTTTTACCCATATGAGTTATATATATATATATATCCATTGGATGATCTACTTTTGACTTTTGAACCCGTCGCTGCCGACGCGGTGAGCTGTTGGAAGGTGACGAGAACATGTTAGTTGAAAAAACAACACATAATTAGCTATTAAACGACGAAGTTAGCATTACAACCAAAACCTATTTTTAATATGTTAATTAAAAACAGAGAGAAAAACTAAAAAAAGGAACAACTGTCATTTGCAATGAAATTAAAAAAATAGATTAATCTCCATTAATTAATTTTGGCCACCCAAATTCAATTAAAACACTAAATTTCATATATATATTTTGGAATGATTAAATTCAATTAAAATATTTAATATAAGAAACCAATCCAATGGAATAATTCATTTTGTTTTAATAAAAATATTTCATTTTTTGATATATATATATATATATATATATATATATATATATTTTAAGACAAATTTAGAGACGAAACAAAATGTACATATATATACATATTTTCTGATTGGATAACTTTTTTTTTATAATCTAATTGGATAATGTTCTCCTAGTGGATGATGATTTGGTAGAATAAATCGATGTCAAAACGAAATTCCAGATCCGAACATGTTGTAAATAATAAGGATTCAGACGCTTGGTTTCAGACAGTCTCGATAATGACAATGGTAAATTCACCGTATACCTTTGTATAAAAAGGAGGGTTCCCCTATTTTATAAGCCCTTCTTTATTCATCTTATTCTCCGATTCTAAATCCACCCATATCATCATCGATGATCGATCGGCGTTCTTTGATGTTTGAATTCGAAATCGATAACATCTCTCAATCATTCCCAATGGCATGAAATGGTTGTCGAGTCATGGATAAAATGAAAGAATCTAAAAAACGTGAGGGAGCTTTGCTGTAATAGAGAGAGTTTAGAGACAGAGATTCAAAAGAAGAGCTGGAGAGTAAATCTCCATTGTCTACTTATTAAGCTTCGAACCATACAGCAGGGTTTATATGAGAAATACACATACGAATGCTTATGGAAACTGTATCAATTATAAACGTGAATATGTTGCTAAATATAACAGGAATGGAAACATAATATCTTATGGTTTAGCTCCCTTGATTTAGTCAATGATAATACCAAGGTCACTCCATGGATTGTGCCACTCGTCCATTACTCCGTATTGGTCTTCTTGTGTAATTGCTTGCATTACGGACACCATCCGAGCTTCTTCTTGATATTGTTTGCCTTTAGCTTGGTCACTGTCAATTTCTGGTCTAACATTCCCCCTCAAGATTGGTTCGGGAATGTCGACGACACCAATCTTGGAGAGAGAATTGCTAAACACTTTGATGTTAGATGCCTTGGTGAAAATATCGGCAAATTGATCATTGCTCTTGGTGTATGATGTAGCAATAATTCCTTGAGCTATCTTCTCACGAATGAAATGGCAATCCACTTCAATATGTTTGGTTCGCTCATGAAACACCGGATTCTGCGCAATGTGCATGGCGGCATGACTGTCACAATGGAGAATGATCGGTTGGTTGATGGTAATGCCAAGTTCTTGTAATAAAGCTTTGAGCCACATGATCTCGCAAGTTGTGTTCGCCATAGCTCTATATTGCGCTTCCGCACTCGACCTTGCCACTACTTGTTGCTTCTTGCTCTTCCAGGTGACTAAGTTGCCTCCGACAAATGTGCAGTATCCTGTGGTTGATTTTCTGTCCACTCTATCTCCGGCTCAATCCGCATCACAGTAGGCTACTACTCCAATATGATTGTTTCGGTTCATCAAAATGCCTTTTTCCGGAGTTCCTTTGATATATTTCAGAATCCTTTCAACCATTCGCCAATGGTAGATTATTGGCGTGTGTATCCACTGGCTAACCTGTTTCACGGCAAAGCATAAATCAGGTCGAGTAATGGTAAGATAGATCAGCTTACCTACAACGCGGCGATATTGTTCAACGTCTGTGTACAATTCCCCCTCGCGTTGTTCTTTATAGTTATCCTCTAAAGGAGTCTTGGCGGGTTTGGTCGCAAGCTTGCCGGTGTCGTGTAGAAGATCAAGAATATATTTCCGCTGAGAGAGGAAGAGGCCGTTAGAGTGTCAGATAACTTCAATGCCTAGGAAATATTTTAGCTCTCCCAAGTCCTTGATGTCAAATGTGTGCTGCAAGAAAAGCTTAGTTTGTGCAATTCCATCAACATCGTCACCCGTTGCTTCGGAATTTGATTTTATAAATCCACTTGCTGCCAATGATGTTTTTACCCAACGGTTTGTCGACAATCTGCCATGTGTTATTTTTGTCCAGAGCAGCTAGCTCATCTTTCATGGCCACCTGCCAAACATCCATGGTTTTCGCCTGTGTGTATGATCCGGGCTCTGTATGTTTGGTTAATTCACTAAAAAATGAAACTTCATCAGAGTATAAATGTGTGCAATAATCCTGAATTGGGTACAATACAGAATTACCAGGTTTGGCGCCTCTTTCCTGGATTCGGGCACTGCGGCGAACACCACCTGACGTGATGAGGCTTCCCTGTGGATCAGATGGGTTTACGGGAGACGATGGTTGCTGCGGTGGTTGTGCCGGCGTCGGAGATCGATCATTCCCCCTGGGCTCGGTGATTTCATTTGCAGGAGACAGAGGTACCGAAGATGCAGAGAACATTGGGGAGACTTGAGCATCGGGAGGAGCAGAGGATGGCGACGCTGTTTCCTGGGTGTCGCGAGACCGTGAAGCCAAATCCTGCAAACTCAGATTACGCTCAGCAAAGGAATCAACAGGGTGGTTTACAGAATCACCTTCGACATGGAGAAGCGGTGGAGGAGCTGAGGGTGGTTGAGAATCAACTGAGGCAACTTGCAGAAGACGAGAGAGCAGCTGGCGATAGTCTTCTGAGGTAGGTGATACGTGTGTACCGAGTATAAAATCTATAACCCGATTCACAACTCACCGCAAGGATACGGATCGTCGTAACACGGGGTCGAACACGAGGACCAGTTGCTAAATCCAAATCTAGATCGAAAATAGATCAAAGCAAGCAAGCAAGTAATGATGGAAGTGTGTGGAATCTATGTGAAACGAAATAAGAAAGCAAGTGAAATGAGTAACCTATCAAACAAGGATGACTACGGGTGTTGGGATCGTATTCGCGTGTATGGGTATTTACTAAGCATGCATGAATAACGATTATGACTTGTATTCGGGAATCATCAAGCAACAAAGATAGAGAATTCACCTCTCGGTCTACTAACTCCCTACCTACAGAGTAACTCGTCAATCTCTCGATCTATTCAAGTTAACCCTAGATGCATGAAGAACGCTGTCATCAACCCTAGATCGATTAAGCCATATCTCTATGTGAATAATACGATCTATCCTATTGATTTTGATCCGAAACAAACCCATATCTCTATGTAGTTCAGAATCCAAGATAATTGATCAAGGGGTTAGCAAACATCAATCCAATAAAAGTGCAAATCAATAGAACCGAATCAAATCAAAACCGAAATCCAAGTTAGGGTTCAAACATACCCAAAACACATACGAATCCCTAACCCATAGTCATGGATCTACTCAAGGTTCATAGAAAACAATAGAAAAAACAGAGAAAAAGAGATAAAAGAGAGGAAAGAAAGTCTCATGTAGATGTGTAGTCTCCACGATCGAATCTTCCTTCTTCTTCCCGAAATCCCGTGAACTTCTATTCTTCGCTCCCCAAAAGCTCTCCAAAATCTGTATCTAGGTATTCTCTGAGGTTCTCCCCTCTACTAGGACGTGGCTAGGGCTTTTTTATAACCCTACGGTGGCTCCCAAGAGTTCTAATCCCATTCCAATGCTGAAAATCGCGAATTAGGGTTAACTGGATCCGGACCGATTCCAGGTGGATACCGGATCCAGATTCCTGGGGTCGAATTCTGCGTCCTTGATCCGGACCGGATCCAGTTGGATCCGGCCCTACGCTGGCAGTTTTCTGGCCTTCACGATTTCGCTCGTAACTTTCTGCTCCAGTGTCGGATTTACGCGATTTTGGTGTCCACGTGAAGCTCTTGAAGTGATCTTTCCAATGGTATAAGTCTCGCACGATTTGAACCTCTGTAGAGAAAGTTATTGATGTCGCAACATGAGCATCTCATCCGGACTTCTCCTTTAACGTTCCAATTAGCTCCTTTTCGAGTCCAATCATCTCCGAAACCTGTAACTCTGCAAAACTAGAGCACAACCGGGTTTTGTATCCTAACACGCCTAGAATATCTATGAATGCATGTGATTATCCTGTAAAACCTAGACAAACTCTCATCAAAATATAGAGAAGAATAGGAGTTATCAAATCCCCCCAGACTTAAACCTTTGCTCGTCCTCGAGTAAAGAACGAAGGAATAAAATCTGCAAAACAGGGAATGACGAACATCAAATAGCATCATCGCGAGAGATCAAAAGCAAAACATCCATCCAATACTAGTTTCCCGAGAATCGTACTCAAACCGGTCTACTATGATCTTCCTACCAAAGACTAATCTACCTAGCCATGGGATTTTTATTGCCACCTAGAACCCATT